CTGCTCTCCTAAGTCTTGGATTTCCAAGCAGCAGTGCTTTCCCTAACTAAGCTAAAAAGGGTCCACAGTGCTTGCAAATACCCAGGAGGCAATAAATGTGAGATTACCAAACCCATTTTCACTACTGTCTTAAGCCAGATTTGTACTCTCCTGATTGTTGTTTCTGGGAGTGATGTCTGTGGCAACTAGATTCCTAATAATTTAACTTTAAAAGTAACTGTAACAAGCAGCAATCTTTAAAGTGCAGCCAGAGAGCTGCTCATTCTGGCAGGAAACTTTCAATAGAGAATCCCAAATCTCCTCAGTGTTTTTGAGACAGAAGCTGTATGTGCCAGCTCACGATCAGCATGGCAAAGTACAGACAGCTTGTGCTCCGGGCCTGAAGGCTGTAGCAAAGGGTGGTTCATGCACCCAGTGTCTCAATTCCATGAGGACACATACCCAGTATTGGTTCCCGTTGTGCCTATAGCATCATGAAGAAATCTGTACTGCTTTTCACAGCTGAGGAGCACAGATACAAAGAGCCCCTTCTGAGTGAGAAAAAAAAATCTGTCTGGTCCTCTGTCCCTTACTAGAATACTGACCACAAAAAAAACAAAAAGAACTTACCTGAGAGCTGATAGGACATCTCACTGAAGTCTCTGATGGGAAGAGATGAGAGAGGACAGGACAGGCTGATGATAATGAGCCAGCAGAATACCAGCCTGTGCATTGTTGCTGTGTTAAGTAGTTAGTCTTTGTCGACCCCTATAGTACAGAACTCTTGTCTGACTGGTGCAGTTTCACCCATTATATAGCTGCTCATGACCTCATAAATATCATCATTCCCCCAAACCAAAAAAAAAACATCCAATGAATTTATTGCCTGTGATCCTGAATGGAAACCTCTTTGCATTGATGTAATTTTTCAAGGTAACAGTTCATAGACAATAAATTTACTGTTGTGTTGCAAGGTGTACAAAGTGGATATTATATCAAACCCAGCACAGTCAAGTTTATAAATCTGGCATTAAAAAAAAGTAACGTCCAGTTATAAATCACAAGGTAACAAGAGGGTCAGACATTGGTTTGAAATGACCAGGGCAATGAGACAGCTGATTTATGAGCCTTTGCAGGCTTGACGCAGCACATCTGATATGAACTGTGCTTTCTTTTTTTCTGTTGTGAAATGGATGGATGAGTTGTCAGGTTGTATTTGGGGTTCTTGTACCAGGAGAATGAGAATAGGGGGGGGATTGAAACTTCTACTCATTTTGTTTGCAAAGAAAAGTTCAGTTGTGTTTAAAATGTTTTTCTTAATATTTTTCCTGTAGCGTTTCATTTCTGTTTATTTGTGAAGGCCTCTTCCAACATTGCCCTAGAGAGTCACCTTGGCAGTGAGTGTGTAACTTTCATCTTTTACAGTTCAGTGGAGACTAACTCAATACGTATGAACACATTTGGGTCCGTCTTAAATGTAGGTCCCTCGCTGACCTGTAAGCAGGCCTAGCCCTTTCCACTCTCATTTCTCCCATTCCCCTCATTAGAAGGAGCTTGCTAGTCCATGTATTAGGTCATGGGCTAAGTTAACTTTCTTTTCCTTTTTTTAAAGCTCAGATGGTGGTGACTATGAATAATAAGCCTCCTCATAACTTTATTCTGTGGCTTTCTCCATCCATCATTTCTCCTTGCAGTCACACCTGTCATATCCATCCTAAATTGTGAACTCCTCTGGGAAGGGATAAGTCCTTGTTGCCTCTGTAAAGCACCAGGCACATTCTTATACAGGTTTTCAATCATAAGTTGATGTGTTTTTGGTGCCGATTTTAGATGATTTGATGATTTGATGATTTTAGATGATGTTGAGGACACAAGTTCTATAGCCTTTTGCGGTTCAGTCAGCCTCTCATAGTTGTTAGGGGCTGGAAGGGACCTTACAGATAATCGGGTCCAGCCCCCCTGCACATGGGCAGGAAAGACTGCTGGGGTCAGATGACCCCAGCAAGATGGGCATCAAGACAGTTTTTGAAGATCACCAGGGTGGGTGACTGTACCACCTCTGGGGGAATCCTGTTCCAAACCCTTGGCATTCGACTTGTAAATATGTTTTTCCTTATGTCTAGTCTGAAGCAATCTTCAATAAGTTTGTGCCCATTATTTCTTGTCCTCCCCTGGGGGGTCTTGGTGAATAGATGCTCCCTCAGGCCCTGATGTACACCCCGATATACTTATAGGCTGCCACCAAGTCCCCTCTGAGTCTTCTTTTCTCCAGACTGAACAGTCCCAAGTCTTTCAGCCTCTGCCCATATGACCTGGTCTCTAGGCCTCTAATCATGCACATGGCCCTTCTTTGGACTCTCTCAAGCTCCCTTCACTTTAAACCAGGGGCAGGCAATTATTTCAGGCAGAGGGCTGCTTACCAAGTTTTGGCAAACCATCAAGGGCTGCATGGGTAGCCCAGCCCCTTGACAGGTGCCCTGTCCCCTGGTCACAATCTTGAGATCAGAAGTCCCAGGCCCTGACCTTTTCCACCCTCCCCTTGGCCCACCAGAAGTACTTCTTTCAGCAAGTGTTTGTCATCTCCAAACCAGAAAAATACCAAATCATATTCTAAAAATCAAACATTTATTACATTCATTCATTTGATTTAAAAAAATATTTGTGTCCTGATTTACATGCGTTTGTGTAGTGTACATAGAGGGGATTGCACAACAGCTTAAAATGAAGACTTACCCTTGTATATTGGGGGAGGGTGGGTAGACGTTTGTGGGGTGTGGGGGAGGGTGTGGGTGTTTGTGGGGGCAAATGGATAGGTGTGGGGGCATGTAAGTGGGCTGAGGGCATGTGTGTGTGTGGATATGGGGTTTGTGGGGGCCTGTGTATGTGTGGGGAGGGTGGCTGGGGAAGGTTGTGGCATGTGTGGAGGGGGAGGTTTTGCCCACAGCCCCCTGTGGGAGGCAGAGCCCCCCCACCAGTGCTCCTTCAAGACACTGCTCTGTGCTTCTGCCACTGGGGCAGAACCCTGTGCAACCCATGCAACCCTGTGCTCCACTCACAGCCAGTTCCTTCTCCATCTGCCACTTCTCTGTCCCTACCCTGCTTGCCTCTCTGGCACCATGTCCCAGCTACATGACCAAGACCACGGGACACAGCAGAACTCAGAGCTGGACTGGACCAGCCAGCACCACATAGGGCCAGCCATGAATTGCAGGGGGCTGGGTCAGCTGCTGCTGCATCCGGTGGCACAACACTGCAGATGGGAACCACATGGTGCTGGAGTGACTGGTGGGGGGTGGAAGGGAGTGGTGGCAGTGGCAGGAAAATGGCTGCAACATGGGGGGCAAGTGGGAATGAGTGGGGAGCTGGAGCTCAGCAACAGGTGGGGAAGTGTTGGCAGGGTCCAGAGCAGGCAGTGGGAGTGCAAGGCACAGGCTGGCAGGGGC